GTATTTTCATTTGTCCCTCACCAATTTTTTAAAAATTTTATTCTTATTCTTATTCTTATTTTGATTCAACCAGAGAGAGAGAGAGAGAAAATGAGAAAGCAAGTCACCAGGTCCAGGACTCGAATCATGGTCTGCCATGTAAGGAGTCTAGCACCTTAACCACCATGCCACCTGCTGGCCCCTGTCCCTCATCTTTGATAAGGAATAATAAAGAATGGAATCGGGGCCAGCAGGTGGTATGGAGGTTGATGCACTGGACTCCCATGTGGTTGACCACAGCTCAAGTTCTGGACCTAGTGGGTTGATTTCTCACTTTCCCTCCCTCTCTCTCTCTCTCTGGTGAAATTGAAAAATGATAATAATATAATATATATATAATATATATTATTATCATATAAAAATGATAATATAATAAATAAAATAAATAATTCATTTTTATAAAAAAGAATGGAATCAAATCCAAAAAATGTCTAGTTACAGACTCAATTGATTGGAAAAAAATTGAACACGAGTGATCAAGTGTAATATAAAGTGCCATTTTAATACCAGGAGGTAAAAAGGTACTGAATCTCATGGAAAACATACCAGTTTATAAAGTCAAAGCAACTGCGTCAGAGTTCTCATAGCAAACCTGTCACTTCCCCGTCATCCAGCTATAGCTTTCTCATCACCATAGTGATGTCTTACCTGGTAAGTCACGTTGTGGATATCACAGTGTGATAAACCCCCTGAGCACTGTGCAAATGAAAATTATTCCTCATCATCATTATCATGGCTCTCCCAGACAGTATACCTAAAAATCATTTTTCACAAATATTTCTTCCACATGATCATTCTCTCCCTTCTGAAAATTTCCATGTTTTCTGATGAAATCTCATACTTCCCTGAAACTGCAATTTATTTTTAAAAACCTACTGCTTGGAGCAGCCTAAACTGTTTGAATCACAATAAAGATGACCTCTGTCAGGCCCCTGCCAGGTGTACAAGAGCCCTTTGAAGAGGTATTTAAAATATTGGGAGCTCTCTAAATACACCATGCTCAGTTCATACACAGATCAATTCAAACCAAGCACTTTTTCCCCAATGCCTTCCCAAGCACAACTTTTTAGCCTTGACAAGAGGCTGTCCACATTTGGCTTTACTTCTCTTCATTTACGTAAGAATGATCTCAATCATTTGATAACCAAATACCTTATCTTTACATAGGCAATAGTTTCCTTGTTAACATAATAACAAAGATCTTGAGATGTGTCTCATTAGTATCTTAGGACATCCATGTAAGAAGGATATTCATACCACCAGGTACTGTTACATGGGTCATAAACCAGTAATAATATGCATGCTACTGCCATGACCATGGCCTGCCGACCAAGTGAATTGTCCTTGGTTGGAAATAATGAGCTCCTGGAGGAGAGTATAAACACAGAAAGACAATTATTTTCTAAGGGAATACCTTGGATTTATTGAGAGGACTATAGCCACAGTAGCTTAGTGCTTCAGATGGTCTTTTTCCTGAGGGTAACCAAGGACCACTGTTATTGAAATTGGGTCTTTGTGAAAGAATCACTCCCCCAAGAAACTATAGACTTCTGCTTACCATAGTAGAAAACTTAATAGACTTCACCAGTTTTTGTTTTGCTGGTTTTCATTTTTTGTTTTAATTTTTCTGTAGGGTGCATGTGCTTACCAGAGAGAGAAAGAAATCACCCCCAGGAGGGATGGCCATGCCACAATCCCTTCTCCTATATTCTCCTCTTAAGATGTTGAGCATGCATGCACACATGCCTAGCATGTAAATCCTAAGAAACTTTGTTTTTGTTTGTTTGTTTTAATAGAAATTTTTATAATAGGGCACATGTGCTGGCTGGAGAGACAGAGAGACAGAAAGGGAGAAATGACCCTCCGTGGGGGATGGCCATGCCACAATCCCTTCTCCTCTTTTCTCCTCTCAGGATTCTGGGCATGCACACACATGCCCAGCATGAATTTTAAGCCACTGCCTCCGGGACATGAACAGTCGTAGACTACATGGGAGTTTAGTGATGTAACCATTACACCACCTGCTGGTCCCAAACCTAAGAGACTCTGAATAAATGTGTATACAAGGAAGGCAGAAGGGCCTGACATCTTCCTGTTTACACACACATGTGCACACTAAAAAAGCTGTTCAAATGAGATTTTCTCCATTACAATTGCAAAGTTTATGTAAAACACACATTATCAGGTGTTGCCCGTACTAACATCCTAGAAGGAGAAATGCATACAGCTTCCACCTCTATTGAGTGCTTTCCTGAGGTGGTGAAATTTGCCAGACCTGCGATATTAACAGAAGTATGGAAATTGGAAACAAAAAGCTGGAGTCTACCGGGAACGACAGGATCAAGATGAACTCAACTGGAAAATTTGGCTAACTAAAAGTGACATCCATTGTGCTAGAATTTTTCTATCTGAAAGCTTTAAAAAGGCTGTAATTATTTCGAATTTTCAATTCAGCCCTTTTCAAACTAAGCCTTTTATTTTCTTCCTCGTGCTGTACCTTTCCTCCATGTTGAACTTGGGTGTTTGCCAGGCACTGAGGTGGTAAATTCATATTGGTTTTATATACATATCCATCTTCAGAAATACAATACAACTTTTGTATCCTCCATGACAAGAAAAACAAAAGAATATTTGTACATCAAAACCTCTTGTGCACAGGCTCAAAATACCTGAACAAGGCTAAATAAATCACCTAACAAGAAATGGCTGATTAAGGCCAAAGCATAATTTCTTTGCAAGTTACTGCTTTTTCTCCATGGCGACGCCAAGGAATACAAAAACTTAGACTTACCTTGTAGCTTTTGGGTCCCAAATGACAATATCAGCATCTGATCCCACAGCTATTCTCCCTTTTCTTGGAAAAAGATTGAAGATTTTGGCTGCATTCGTGCTGGTAACTGCCACGAATCGGTTTTCATCCATTTTACCACTATGCTGTAAAAACAATTCAAAGAAGAAAATGCATTTGTACTATTGGTCAAATGCTAAAAAAATTCCTAGCAACTAAACTTTTAACACTTGCATCTATTAAGCCAAACAGAATTACGCCTTAATTTCTTATACTGAGAAGCAAACCCACCTATGTGGGCACTGGTAAGTACTAAATAATCATAATGACGGAGATGATGGTGTAGAATTTGGAATCCCAGTGATGATTTTCCCAAAATCTATCAGCTTAAAAACATCTCCATTAGGGACCAGCAGTTGGCGTAATGGTATGTCGCTGGACTCCCATGTAGTTGACTGCGGTTTGAGTCCCACACCTGGTGGCTTAAACTCATGCCAGGCACTTGTGCAAGCCCAAGATCCCAAGAGGAGAATGGAGGAGAAAGGATTGTGGCATGGCCATCTCCCCTGGGGGGTGATTTCTCACTTTCGGTCTTTCTGTCTCTCTTCCTGGGTGAGCGCACATGCCCTATAGCAAAAATCTCGGGGGGGTGGGGAATCTCCATTAAAATTTATCCCATCCTTCCCAGAATCACATGAGATTGCAACCAATAATGGCTAAATATGGACAATGGGATTTTGAATTCTCTTTTAAAGTTTACTATCGCTACCTCCTACATTTATGATCCGGCTTATTTACTACAGACTTAGGATTTATGAGATAATCATGGGGAGATATTAGAAAGAATAGCATAGGGTTAAAATAAGAGATGATGATGCTTTTCAGGTGGGTGATGATGTTTTTAGAAAGATGAAAAATCAACTCAAGAGGTTCAATTTTATGCAACTGAAATTTACATGAACCAATAATCTTAGATAATCTATAGCAAGAGATTTTGATATAGACAGACTTTGGAGGGATGCAGTTCCTTTAAAATTTAAAAATGGGGAGGAGGGGTTTGCACATTTATCTCTAAGTACATTTACATGCTAAGAATGCCTTTAGGGTTCATTTAATTATCAAAGTATCCTTGCCTCAAAATGATTAAGGGGATCAGACAGTAGTGCTGCAGTAAAATGGCACAGCTCTGGGAGACAGACACACACGGGAAGGTTGTCAGTTTGTGTCTAAAGACCTCTGGCTGCACCAGGCACATGTGCACTCATAGTCCAGGCTGGCCAAGGCTGGGGTGGATCGTGGCATCAAGACCCTGTCAGGGGCCCTGTAGCTCTCTCATTTCTCTCTCTGTCGCTCTCACTCATAGAATAAATAAAATAAAATTTTAAAATAATGATTAAGAACTATGTCCTGAAAGTATTAATTCTATAAATAATCTTAATGTTTCAGAAAATAACACGATTTCCTGGACGTTATTAAGAACTGTTAAATAATTTTAAAGTTGTTTATACACCTGGGAACTACAATGGATTATGAAAATCGACTGTAATGAAAGCACTCACTGTAATAACACAAGTTCTAGGAGGAAGGCTGGACTTATATCAAGAAAACTAAACAAAGAGAAAGAAAACAAGTCATCTGGTTTGGTTAGGATGGAGAGAGGTGGATAAGAGGATGATTCGTAGAAGATAAAGCTATAGAGATGGTTTAAAGAGCCTTATAGGTAGGGATCAGCAAATGGCGGAACAGTTCCATCACTGGACTCTCAAATGGCTGACTGGTTTGTGTCCTGGACCAGGCAGCTTGAAACTCATGCCAGGTGCATGTGTGTGTGTGTGTGTGTGTGTGCCCAAAATCCTGAGGAGAGAATAGAGGAGACGAGATTGGGGAATGGCCATCCATCCCCCTTGGGGGGTGTGTCTGACTTCTCACTCTCTGTCTCTCTGTCCCTCCAGTGAGCACACACACCCTATAGCAAAAATCTCCAAAATAAAAAGATCCTTATATGTAAATTAATTTTTAAATGTCACCCTGTAAGTAGTGGGAAAATATAAAGGGCTTTTGAGAGAAAAGTAGCACGAAGAATTTCATTTCTGAATAGTAACTCTAGTACTGGAGTATAGAAGAGATTGTAGCAAGCAAGAGACTGGAGATAAGACACCAGCTGTGAGACTACTGCAAAGGCACCAGCAAAATATGGGCCTTCGGTTTGACTGGAATCCATGAAGATGGAAACAAAGAGCCATCTTGGAAATAAAATTGACAAGACTTGGTAAACAATTAGTTAGAAGTCAGTGGTATGTCTAGGGGAAAAGTAATAAAAGAGGATTCTGTAGTGAAGGAGTACACATATATAAATATATAAATATATATGTGTGTGTGTGTGTGTGTGTATATATATATATATATATATATATATATATATATACACGAGGTATTGGAATTTAATAACATGAGAAATCAAGCAGAAAGGCTATAACATTTCAGAGACTTCAAGAATAACATTCTTGGGATCAGCAGTTAGTGTAATGGCTATGCTGCTGGATTCCCATGTAGTTGACCGAGGTTCGAGTCCTGGACCCCGTGGCTTAAACTCATGCCGGGTGCGTGTGTGTGCGTGCCCAAGATTCTGAAAGGAGAATGGAGGAGAAGGGATTGCAGCATGGCCACCCCCCCAGGGGGTGATTTCTCGCTTTCTGTCTCTCCATCTCTCTGTCTGTCTGGTAAGTGCAAGAGCCCTATAGCAAAAACCTCTCAAAATAAATAAATAAATAAATAAGAATAAAATAACATTCTTTATACCCACTCTAAATTCCTTCCCTAATGTCTCTGCAAAATAGTCCAGTGCACCCTCTAAGCAACTACGTGTAGAAGAAAATTATTTCCTTGCTAATACTATCCCCAGGATTAGTGGAGTAGTGGGGTAGTGGGGTGGTGTTGTAGTCCCAGTCTCTATGCCAGTGAAAACCATCAAAAAGCTAGTCCATGAAGGTTTGTGCCATGCTGGTCCCCAACAGGCAGAATCCTAGCTGAAGAACAAGGCAAAACAAGGCTGGATCCTGTGAAACCCACCACGCCTTTTTCCCATATCACTGACATCCGGTCCTCAACACCGTTCACTCCATTGGGAATCTTGGTGAAATCATCCTTCCCAAGGGCTTTCTGGCAGGTGTTAAAAGTGCAGTGGTCAGTCCCTGTTGTGGTGAGATCATCGCTGTCAGAGAAAAGAAAAACGTGAGAGGGATGGTGTGAGTAGACAGGATAAATTAGGAGAGAACTACATAACTTGCCTAATCTCCTGATCGTCTTCTCAACTGGAAGTCAGAAAAGAGTGCTGGAGAACGTGAAGCATCTTCAAGGGCATATTTCATCCATCTCTTGTCTTTATTCTAGGAAGCGCTTTTAGAAAACATGCTTACAAGAAATGTAGTTGTGGGATTATGGGTTAGAAAACCTGGTACCAGGCTCAACTTAATCACCTCCTGACTCTGTGATTATGATCTTGTCTGAATCTCAGTTTCTCATCTAGAAAGGGATAGTTACAGGTACTTGGTGACAATAGCGTATGGACCACTAGCAATAATGTAGGTGAAAATTCCTTGTGAGCAGGGAATTACACAAAGATACCACCATGTTGATCTATGTGACTGGACCCCCTGGCCGAAGGGCAATGCTGTGATGAACAGAGATGCCAGACTGGCTGAGGACGCTGATACCACCAGGGACATGCATCCTGCCTTGATTTGGGAATATGCTGAGGGATATGAAAGCATGAAGGACAAAGAAAGCTGAAGGAAGGGGCAAATGAACCCTTGCACAATCTGTTTTGAACAGTGTTTAACTAGAATCTGAGCATCTGTGAATAGTGTCAATTAATTACAATTAATGCTGCAATTCTTAAGAAAAATTATCACACCCTCTCAGAAAGCAACAGAGTTATCTATACAACAATCTGCTTCCTAGATTATATCAGAGAAGGGAAAAAAAATGTCAAGAACATTCTGATAAAAATAAGGCATGTGGAAGAACCATGAGTCTGAACACCAAGAGATGGAAAAAATCAGGAGAGAACTAAATTTCAATAAAAATGATCTGATTTCTCCCTGTCGAGGATCAGATTGGAAAAGATAGCATACTATAGCCAAGACATTTTTTTTTCCTCTCCAGGTAAGGGGCACCCAGGGCTAGTTAGCTCAAGTAGAACGCAATACTGGAAGGTCAGCGGAAGGTCCAGGAGGTAGAACAAGCTCTCCCCCACACAATCCTAAGACTCAGAAAACACCTTTTTCTGGCAAAACATCTTATAGCAGTGTTCAAAATGATTACTTAGCCAAGAGATTCATGAGAAAGCCGGGCGTTGAAGGGTCTGGCCGCAGGGGTGGACCCATGACATGGTGGGCTGCGTGGTGCCATTCTTTATTCCAGTAGTGAGTGCCGTCCGTGCCAAGACTTGCTGCTATGGGTTCTCCATAGACCACCTTCCCTGGAAAGGTCAATGGAAGCATTCAGCCACTCATTTACTCTTAAGAGGACAATGTGACAAACACAAAAATTAGTCTTTTCTGTCCTAGCAATGCATGATATCTACAGCTTAGCAGACTCTCTAACTATAATTTACTTTTGTGAAAAGGGCCTGAAAACAACTAATGTTTACTGAGCATTTACTATGTTCTGATCAATGTGCATTTACATGTTATAGCAGATTTTTCAAACCACTCACCTGTTACCAGGCTTGGTCATGTGACTTACTTTGGCCCATTCGACATAAATGAATGGACTTATGCTGCTTCAGAGCAGAAGCTATAAAGCCATCCCTTCAGCTATGTCCCAGAATGACGCGATTATGAAGGGGCAGGCTGTCAGCCCACCATGGACATGCATATAAATGGTCATTGTCACTGTAGCATAATCTAGCAAACACTGGCTGATACGTGTGCCCTTCTAACACAATCTTCCCAAAGTCCCATCAGGTACTTCTATTGGCTCCATTAGAAGATGAAGATAAACCTATGAAATTAAATAATCTCTACGATTACGTTACAAACACTCCACATGGAGTGGAGGCGGCAGGATTTGAACCCAGGCATTTTGACTCCAATAGTACTCTGATGACAGTTCATCATTAACAGAAGCTGTATGGAACTCAACCACAGTATATATCTGTAGCAAACAGATTGATAACCTTTTCACACCCTTAAAAAAAAAAAAACCTCCTCAAAAGGCTTATATTAAATAAAAGAACTCTCAATAATAAAATTGTAACCAGAAACGCATATTTTAAAAATCATGCAAATGAGGCCAGCAAAAGCACGTAATGTTAGAAAAGTTAACAGTGCATAGTGAATTTGAATTTAAAATCAGAATCCCATCTCTGATTAGCATTTGTCAGAATAATGGATTTGCTGGCATCAACCTCATCATATTCCAGTAATCATAAAGGAAAGCGAACAGGAAAGAGATTCTGGCATACCAAATTAGTTCACTCTGGCCAATCAGATGCCAAATTTCAGTTAAAATCCTGACGTATAACTGAAATGATCTGATTTCCTCAGAGAGCACCGACAGCGGGATGGCCACCAGCTGCCTTCGTCCCATTAAACTGGGATATAGCACCCTACTATTTCACAGATCACTTCTCCAAACGAACTATCTCCCTCCAGCCAGCCTTAGGAATTTGAAAGACCATGAAAGCAAGTCTTATTAAAGCCTAAGCACTTCCTTTTATTTTAAAATTTTTTCATATAGGGTACTTGCACTCACCAGAGACAGATTGAGACAGAGAGTGAGAGGGAAAGTAAGAAGTCATCCCTGGGTGGGCAGAGAGATGGGCACATCTCTTCTCCTCCATTCTCCTATTGGGAAGTTTAGGCACACACACACATGCACCCAACATGATTTCCTTCTTTCCTCCTCCTCCTTCTTCTTCCTCTTCCTCTCCCTCTCCCTCTCCTTCTTCTTCTTTTTAAGAGATTTTTGTTATAGGGCACATGCACTCACCAGAGAGTCAGAGAGAGACAGTGAGACAGTGAGAAGAAAGCAAGAAATCACACCCTGGGTTAAGGACATGCCACAATCCCTTCTCCATTTTCCTCTCAGGATCTTGGGCACAACACACACACACATGTGCGCGTACACACACACACACATACCTGGTGTAAGGTTTGAGCTGCTGGGTCTGGGACTCTAACCTCAGTTGACTACAGTGAGAGTCCAGTGACATAACCATTATGCCATTGGATCATCCCGCCCAGCGTGATTCTCATGCCGCTGGGTACAGTGGGTAACTTACACGCCATCTGCTGGCTCCCTATCTTTCCTTTTTTTTTTTTTTCTTAAAGAAAAAACTTATCCAGGGACCAGCAGATGGTATAATGGTTATATCTCTAGATTCCCATGTAGTCAATCATGGTTCAAGTCCTGGACCCGATGGCTTAAACTCATGCCAGGTGCATGTGCATGTGTGCCCAAATTATGAGAGGAGAGAGAATGGAGGAGAATGGATTACGGTATGGCTGTTCCCGCTGGGGGGTGATTTCTTGCTTTCTGTCTCTCTGTTTTTCCAGCGAGCACATGCACCCTATAGCAAACACCTCTCTTCAAAAAAGAAGAAGAAAAAGAGAATTCATTTCTCCTATGAGCAAGAGAGAAACAGAAAGAAAGATAGAGAGATAGGTATCCTCAAAGGGATCCACCTCAGCTTCAGCCAGCCCCGAGTGTGACGGGTGCACGCTCAGCATGTTCAAAGAGGTCTCCAGGCGTGAATCTGGGACCTTCCTCTATGAGTCAGCCTCACAAGGGGTTGCATAACTGCTGTGTCACTGTCTGACCCCCAAGAATTTCACTTAACTAAGTAAAGAACCATAGTCAATAAAAGTTACCCCCTCAGGACTGAGCCACTGCTAAGATCCTTTACTTTCACAATGCAAATGCAAAATGAATCCTGCCCACTCCTGGTTCTTCCTGCCCTATTTCCAGGGAAGGGAAACACTGAGCATCTCCTTCCGGCATATAGAAAATGTGGCCATTATTTTTAGTGAGTCAAGAGGTACTGTACTATCTACTGGGGAGGTAGAAAAATGGACACGATTTTTTTAAAGAATTATTTTATTCATCCTCATTATTATATTTTAATTTGACCAGAGAGAAACAGACAGAGAGCGAGAGAAAGTGAGAAAGCAAGCCACCAGCACTGGGACTTGAACCTCAGTCTACGTGGGAGTCCAGTGCACTTAACTGTCATGCCACCTGTTGGCCCAGGGACCTGATATTTTATTTCTAAATATGAGAGACCTTTGTATTCCAAGAGAACTTCTTAGAGATACTTGGACAATGAAAATTCAGAGACTTGATCGGCAATCACGTTATAAGTTGCCAACTCAGGATTTCTGTGGTGTGGTGCTTTATCATAGAGGGAAGATCCTTATCACACGTTCTGTTCAATCACTTGGCCCATCAAGGTGATATGGGAATACAATCCTAAAAGGTCTACTATTTTAATAGCTCTCAGGAAAAATTAAAAGTGTCAGTATCTACCAGGAGCCTGCCAGGACTGTTTTGAGACTAGATGACAGGTAATTTCCTTGGAAGGGCGTAGCTCCTTTAAAATGTGACAGGTCACATTTTTGGTATATACAAAAAGCTCTTTGAGATGGGCTATTTTCAAATTTCTCCCCATTAAATATCTGTAAATATTTAAAAAAATGAAAAATTCCTAGCCCCTATTTCCTCTACATAATGACGGTAAAAAGACATTTTAAAAAGACTGAAAAGCCTGTAAGAACTCGAAGAGGAAAGGGAAACAGGGGGCCTGATAGGCTGTAAATTGGATAATCAAACAAGATAATTCAGCATAATTACAGGTTTGGTTAGATTTGGGTTAAAAATAGAGTAACAATAAAAATACCTAACCTGTATAGATAACACGCTATAGTTTGTAACGCTCTCACTTATGACCTCATTTGACCTTCAGAGAAACCCTCATGCTGGTTTGACAGACGAAGAAATTGATGCTTAATGAGACCAATTTGCCCATGACCTACTAGTAGTGAGTGGTACGGCCAGAATTAGAAACCTAGTGCCCGGGATCATGTAAAATAAGTGCTATTACTAGAAAAAGTGTTATTTTTCATTTCTTTGTCAAGAGCACGCATTTCTAAATGTTTAAGTCAACCATCAGCTAGTTGTAGAAATCCTGAGCCATTTTCCAATCGTACCTACTGGTTTTCACTTACTACACTTAATAGGTTGGTGACAAAAACTGCTACATCTGTCTTTAGTCTGGTACTTTCCTGATTACATTCAGGATCAGATGGTTTCACCACCTCTTGGGAGACAGATGCATCTTCATCACCAGCCTCCTCCCACTGCCTTAGCACATGAGGTTATGTCGGGTCTTCTTGAAAATATTCTCTCCTTCCTCCATCCTTTGGCTCAAAACCAAAAAGGAAGACTCTGCACTTAGGATGCAACTTTCCACTTAAAGGAGTTTTGCCCTCTGAGACAGTCTAAAGATTTCCAGATAATGAAGCATGTCAAGCCAGTCCAAACTCCCTCCTGACCAGACGACCCATTTAGTAGATGAAGGTGATAGAGCGAATGTTAACACCATCTCTGAATCTGTACACAGCACTTAACTGACTCATGAGGTCTGTTAGAGAAGATGGAAAGATGCAGAGAAGCGGCATAGGTGCTCAGGAATGAAGCAAACACATTAATGAAAATAAGTTTTCCTAGCCAAAAGGTTGCAGTGAAGCTTTTCTTGGCTCCATTTTAATTTATGACATTACCTTTACAAAGGAAGAAAATAATTGAGAAGGAAAACCTATAGAAGCAGAATAAAGTGAATTATTCAGATTTAGGTTTAAATCCTTTGCTACTTTTTAGCTGGTGATCTCGTGCAAGTTGAATAGATCATTGTCTCAGTTTTTCTCATCCATGCAATGGGATCCCCATGTTCCTCTAGTGTGGCAAGTTTGTGAGCGTCAAATAAATAGATATATATGAAAGTGTCTAGTGTCTTCCTGGGACCCTGAAGTCACTGCATGTTATAAGCGGAATTGTGTTCCCTGTCCAAATTCAAATGTTGACGTCCTAACCAGTATTTCAGAATGTAACTATATTTGGAAATTGGGTCTTTATAGAAGGAATGGAGTTTAAATAGGTCCCTAGGGTGAGCTCTAGTTCAATAAAAAGGGTGCTCTTTTAGGAAAAGGAAATTTGGGCACAGACACATACAGAGAAGACACAAGAAGACGGCCATCTATAGGCAAGGAGAAAGATCTAGAACATAGCCTTGTCCTCAGATGGAACCAACCCTGTTGACACCTGGATCTCAGATTTCTAAACTCCAAAACTGGGAAAAAATGAATTTCTTCTTCTTTCTTTTTAAACTTGTTTGTTTCACGAGCGAGAGAAACAGAGAGAGAGATAGAAAGACAGTCACCCCCAACTGGGTCTCAACAGCACGATCCACATCCATTCCCA